TGATACTGCCTCGGAAACCCAAGGAGGGGTCGCTATGAGTCAGGGCTGACTCGACGGCACATAACAACAACAACAACAATGGCTAATGATTGTGAGCATTTCTTCATGTGTTTGTTGACTGCCTGAATATACTCTTTGGTGTAGTATCTATTCATGTCTTCTGCCCATTTTTAAATTGGATTGTTTGTCTTTTTGTTGTTGAGGTATTGGAGTTTTCTATAAGTTTTAGAGATAAGTCCCTTGTCAGATATGTCATTGCCTAATATTTTTTTCCCAATCTGTAGGTTCTCTTTTGATTCTTTTGGAGAAGTCTTTTGAAGCATATAAAAATTTTATTTTTAGAACGTCCCATTCATCTAGTTTATCTTCTGCTGTTTGTGTGTTTTGGGTTATGCTTGACAGTCTATTTATACCATAAATTAGGGCCCCTAAACTTGTCCCTAATTTTTCCTTTAGGAACTTCATAGTTTTAGGTTTCACATTTAAGTCATCTGGAGGTAGTTTTTGTGAATGGTGTGAGGTACAGATCTTGTTTCATTTTTCTGCAATGGATATCCAGTTTTGCCAGCACCATTTATTAAAGAAATCATCTCTACCCCATTTAATGGACTTTATAGTCCTTTGTCAAAAATCAGCTGACCATGGGTTGATGGATCTATTTCTGGGTTCTCAATTCTGTTCCACTGGTCTATGTGTCTGTTGTGCCAGTATCAGGCTGTTTTGACTACTTTGGCTGTACAGTAGGTTTTGAGATGCAGGAATGTTAGTCCACCTACTTTGTTGTTTTTCAATAGCGCTTTGCTTATCCGAGGTCTCTTTCCTTTCCATATAAAATTAGTGATTGTTTTTTCCATATCCCTAAAGATTGTTGATGGGATCTGGATTGGGATTTGTGGTGTAATAAATTATATGGTGTGGCTTCTCTAGCCATAATCTTTGTAACTCCCCCTTTGCTGTGAGTAGCTGATTGTTAAAGTTGTCCACTGGGTGTATTTCTGTTGGAGCAGCATGAAGCAATCTTCTGGGAAGTTCACTGTCTCTCAGGGGTGCAGAATTCTGATGTTGGGATTGGAAGTTTTGCCACTTGGCCAGGCTCAAAATAAGCCCTCCTAGAGGTAGGAGGAGTGTCTCTGACTGCCGCCTGAGAAAGACACACTGCTGAGAGACATGAGACAGACATGCTGAAAGATGCGAGAGACACACACTGCCGAGATAGAGATCTGCTACTTAGAGAGACTGTTGGCTGAGACACGACCAGCTGAGAGAGACTGACCGTGTTCCTGAGCTTGAATTGTAGCCTGTTGCTTCCCTAGTAAACCCCATAATCTGTGAGTTCTGGGTGGCCACTGCAGTGAATTACCGAACCCAGCAGAGAGGTGTTGGGTGCCACGGGAGGGATGGTTGGTATCAAGGGTAGTAAGAGGGCTGGAGGGTGGCGTCATGTTTGGCTTCATAGGAGCAGGCATTGGGCTGCTGACGGTGATTCTTTCTCCTCTTGTATAGTTACAGGAGGTCAGAAGATGTCACCTCCTTGTCCCTTTGGCAGGATTGCATTGAATGTATATATTGCTTTGGGTACAATTGACATTTTTACAATGTTCAATCTTCCTATCCACGAGCATGATATGTTCTTTCATTTATGTAGATCTCTTATGGTTTCTTGCAGTAGTGTCTTTTGTGTCCCTAGTATATTTATTCCCAAGTATTTTATTTTTTGGGTAGCTATTGTAAATGATACTGATTTTCTTATTTCTTTTTCAGCAATTTCTTTGCTGGTGTAGAGGAATCCAACTGATTTTTGGATCTTGTATTCTACCTCTATGCTAAATCTCTTAATTAGTTCCAGTAGTTTTTTTTGCTGAATCTCTTGGGTTTTCTATGTATAGGATCATATCATCAGCAAATAGAGATAGTTTTACTTTTTCCTTACCAACATGGATGCCTTTGATTTCCCTTTCTTGCCTCACTGCCATGGCTAGGACTTCCAGTACAGTGTTGAATGGAAATAGTGATAGAGGGCATCCTTGTCTGGTTCCTGTTCGCAAGGGGAATGGTTTCACAGACTCATAGATTTATTTTTTTAATTCAGTGAATTAAATTGTTTCTCAAATTGTCCAAATTGGGTCAATAGTATCAGTGGACAAAGCTAGGAAATACATGTTTTTAAATCATAAGTTCATACTATTACCAATTCAGATTTAAAATTACCATAGTTTTCCCCCTCCTCAACTTCTTGCATTTGTATTTATATCTCTTTTCCCTTAGAGTTAGGAGCTTTTGCCAAGGTTAAGTGTTCAGCTGCTAACCCAAAGGTGGGCAGTTCGAACCCACGCAGACACTCTTTAGAAGAAAGACCTGGAGATCTGCCATCATGAAGATTATCACTTACACAACACTATGAGGCAGTTCTACTGTAGCATAGGGTCGCTGTTTATGGGAACCAGCTGGATGATACCTAATGATAATAACATCCTCTTAGGTTGAAACTCTTATAATCATTTTAATATATATTTACTTACTTGGTTTATTATTGAGTATACATAAAACAGTTCCAAATTATAATACCACCATTCCATTTTTCCTTCATATTTTTGAAAATTAAACTCATTAAATGGAGGCTCCACTTTTCTAAAAGAATAGGGTTATGTTCTTTTCATTAGCATTTAAAATTATTTTTGTTATTAAGTCATTTGTTTTTGTGTTCAGGATCTTCCAAAAGTCATGAAGTAGTTTCTGTAACATTTGGGAGAATATGGTATTTGATATTCATGTACTTGCTTACTAACTACTTAATATTCTATAACCACATGAAATGGGAAATGATTCTTAATTTCTTAGTGCTTAGTAAAAATTTAAGATTGCCAAAACTGGTATATTTTAATCAAAACTGTATGTCATAAGTCTTTGCAGTATGTAATCTTGCTTTTTGGCACAATTCATTGTATATTTAGTACTCATCTTAAAAGAAAAATACAGGATTACCAACTGAGTGGTATTAAGGATTCTAATCTTGACCTTGTTATTAGTGGTTTTTTCCTCCCCCCCTTTTTCTTTTTTTTTAAGTATTAAGTGTTAATGTCCTTTCAAAGAGAAAAGTCACCCATGATGTCTGTCATTCGTGCAAATAAGTATATATATATGGAACAAAATTGTAGACCTCCTCTCCAAAACAGTGTATTTTGTAACTGTTTATTTGGTCAGACATACAGACACACCCAGACACATATTCTCTCTTATTTTTTTTCTTTTTAGTATATTCTATCTTAGGATGATAGATGATGAAACTTTTGAAAGATTCATAATTCAGTGATCTCCTAACATCCTAAGTCAGTGTTAAAAAATAGTGTGCCATTGAAATAGGGCATTAATGATTCTTTCTTTGGTCTAAGTTAGTTCCTCTCTTATCGAATGGCTCTTAGTCTTAACACAAAACAGTACAGTTTATTTGAAAAATCTTGGAATAGATTTAGTATGAAAGTGTTCACTAAGTATAAAATTACTTATACCATACCTTTTGCTCCAGATAGACGTGAAAGTAGACCCCAAGGATTTACGAGTAGATACATTTCGAGCCAGAGGAGCAGGAGGACAGCATGTTAATACAACTGATAGTGCTGTAAGACTTGTCCATATCCCCACAGGTAAGCATGCCCCTTTTCTTTTGTACTTACAACATTTTTTGCACATCTTATAAAATTTGATTCAGCATTTGGAAGGAAATAATCAGTGTCTGGTTCTTTATACTTTTTAAAGGTGATGCTGGAGTTGTATACCTAAGGCCCTTGTAAGCTAGTGCTGCCATAATAGAAATACCACAAGTGGGTGACTTTAAAGAACAGAAATTTATTTTCTCACAGTTCAGGCAAGAAGTCAGAATTCAGGACATGACTTGTGGAAAGGAGGGGTTATTTGTTGTCTATTTCAGCTTCCAATAGCCAGCAATCCTTGAAGTTCCTAGGCTTGTAGATGCATCCACTATGTATGTGTGTGTTTTCATATGGCATCTTTCCCCTGTGTCTTTTTTGTTGTTTTATAACTCAAGTGATTAGGTTTCAGATCTACTTGTATGACTTTATCAGCATAATAAAAGAAAACTCTATTTCCAAACAGAATCACATCCACAGATAAAAGGGCCAGAAATTCAACATGTGTTTTTAGGGGAACAATTCAGTCCACAACACCGTTCTTCATCCACTTTTTGTCATATGTTGTATTTGTGGATTACGTATGTCACCTAGTTTCATTTCAGATGGAGTTTGTGTGTGGGTTTTTTTTTTATCTTACTTTAGTGTGATTTTCAAAAGAAAGAGGATACCATCTTGAAATCAAATGTCCCTTTTAAATTTTAAACTAATTTTCAGCCAATTATTACTGCTTTGCACAGTTTACAGTAGCAAAAGTTGAAATAACCTACATGCACAACAATAGCATAATTTTATAGTTTCTCTTAAGTTTTATTGATTTTGATTCCATAAGAAAAATAAAATACTAGAATATATACATGAGCAAAAGAACATAAAACATCTATGACCATACCCATTAACTATTATTTTATTTATCTTTGTTGTGTACCCTTTCATATTATTCTCTTCCCTATGTATATATATTGGGAGCTCTGGTAGCATAGTGCCTAAGGCACTTGACTGCTAACCAGAAGGCTGAAGGTTCAAATCCACCAGCAACTCCTCAGAAGGAAGATAGGGCAATCTACTTCCGTAGTGATACTGCCTTAGAAACCCAAGGAGGTGTCGCTATGAGTCGGGTCCGACTCAACAGCACTTAAAAACAACAACAACAATGTATATATATCATTTTTCCCAAAAAATAAGGTTATTACAACATTTCATAGCCTTTCATAATTTATTTAAGCAATTCAGAAATTGTTGAGTTTTAGGATGTTTCAACTGAATCCTGCATTGTTGGATATTGTTTTATATCATAAGCAGTCCAGGACAGGAGTGATTATCTTAAAGTGAATTAAAAATAAAAATGACAAAAAAATAGGGTCAAAGTTAACTTAAATTCTAACATTGAACCAAAATATTTCAAAGCATCTACAAGGGTTAAAAACTGCCCTGTACAGCAATAAATTATCTGCATTTAAAAAGGTGGCTGATCATTGTGCTTCCAAATCAACCTTGGGGCAAAGTATGTGTTTAACTACCGAGATCTTGTTCTTTGATTTAAATGCGGCCTTAAGACTTACCTTCAAACTTTTCCTTTAGGCAAGGCATACCAAGCCTAACTCTTTTTATAAAAAAATTTTTTATGAAGCCAATTAAGTGGGTTGTCCCATGAAATCATGACTGTAAGTCTCCAAACCAAGGAACCAAATCCCTTGAAGTGTTTGGTTGTACGTAAGCAGCCTCAGCAGGTACTCTTTATTTTTCTTGTTGTTGTTATTGTAAATATATCTATCATATCTATCACACAACTTTTGCCAATTCAGCTTTTTATAGGTGTACAACTCATTGACAGCAATTATATTAATCAGCTGTGCAACCCTAATCAATGCAATTTTTCCTTCACTATAAACCAAAACTCTATACTCCCTAAACAGTAACCCCCCTATCCTCTCCTTGCTATCCCTGGTAACCACTAAATACACTTTGGTCTTTATACATTTGCCTATTCTTGTCCTTTTAGTACATAGGGGTATGCTTAAATATTTATAGAGGGAAAACTTACTTTTTTGGTAAAATTTACCACAAGGATGAAGACAAATGGATATTACTGCTTTGAACCAGCATTGTCAGTTGGTTACCAGTTAGTTGGTCAGTGAAAGTGGCCTCTGTAAGTCTTCCACTGCTGTCCTTCATACTCATAGATTATCAATAACACCTAACTTTTCTAAGGTAAATTTAATCTTTTACATCAGTTTGTCATTTTAAGGTTAATGGATTTTTTAATTTGTTACTTATTTTATATAAGAGTACTCCTTTTTTTCCAATACTCATTGGTCAGTTTGTTTTACTGTAATGGCTTGCATGTTGCTGTGAGGCTGGAGGCTTTGCCACTGCTATTTCAAATACCAACAGGGTCACCCATGGTGGACAGGTTTCAGCGGAGCTTCCCAACTAAGTCAGACTCAGAAGAAGGAAGGGGCCATCCACTTCTCAAAGAACTGTCCAGTGAAAACCTTATGAATAGCAGTGAAACACTGTTTGATATATTACTGGAAAACACTATCGCTAGCCCTGAAACACTGTCTGATATAGTGCCGGAAGATGAGCTCCGCAGGTCGGAAGGCACTCAGAATACAACTGGGGAAGATCTGTCTCCTCAGAGTAGAGTTGACCTTAATGATATGGATGGAGTAAATCTGTTGGAACCTCTATTTGCTGATGTGGCACAACTCAATATGAAAAGAAACAGCTGCATGCACCCATTAATAATTGGAACATAGAATGTACAAAATATGAATCTGGGAAAATTGGAAGTTGTCAAAAATGACATGGAACTGTATAAAGTTTGATATCCTATGCATTAGTGGGATGAAATGGACTGGTTTTGGCCATTTTGAATCAGATAACCATATGATCTACTATGCTGGGAATGACAAATTGAAGAGGAATGGCATGGCACTCATCATCACAAAGAATGTTTCAAGATCTATCCTGAAGTACAGTGCTGTCAATGATAGGATAATATGCATGTGCCTACAAGGAAGACCAGTTAATACTACTATTATTCAACTTTACGCACCAACCACCAAAGACAAGGAAACTGAAGATTTTTACCAACTTTTGTAGTCTGAAATTGACTAAACATGCAATCAAGATGTCTTGATTATTACTGGTGGTTGAAATGCACAAGTTAGAACAGAGGAATCACTGGTAGCTGGACAGATGATGCTGGAGAGCACATGATAGAATTTTGCAAGGCCAATGACTTATTCATTGCAAATACCTTTTTCTACACATAAACAGAGGCTATACACTTGGACTTCACCAGATGGAGTACACCAGAATCAAATAGACTACATCTGTGGAAAAAGGTGATGGAGAAGCTCACAATCTTCAGCCAAAACAAGGCCAGGAACTGACTGTGGAAAAGACCATCAACTGCTCGTATGCAAGTTCAAGTTGAAGCTGAAGACAATTAAAATATCCTTCCTGAATTTACAGACCATCTAAAGAACAGATTTGACACTTTGAACACCAGTGACCAAAAACCAGAGGAACTGTGAGATGACATCAAGAACATCATTTGTGAAGAAAGCAAAAGGATATTAAAAAGACAAGAAAAAAGACCAAAATGGATGTCAGATTAGACAGATGCAAATCAAAACAACAATGAGGTACCATCTTGCCCCAGCACTAGTAGCAAAGTTCAACAAGACAGAAAATAACAAATGTTGGTGAGGGTGCAAAGAGATTGGGACTCTCATACACTGCTGGTGGGTCTGTAAAATGGTACAACCACTGTGGAAAACAGTATGGAGATTCCTTAAAAAGTTGGAATTAGAAATACCATTTGACCCAGCCATTCCATTACTAGGTATACATTCTAAACAAGTG